ATTTATTATTTTAATAATAAATAATGATAAGAATAATAATAAATATTAGAAAAATAATAAGAATCATAATAAATAATAATGATACTAATTATAATCAATAGTAATAATATTAATAATAATGAAAATAATAATTTTTATAATAATAAATAATAATAACAAAATATATTATGATAATTATATTTTCTAACATTATTTTATTAATGTTTATGAAGTTTTTATTATTTTAATTTTATAAACATGTATTACTTTATTTTTTTTTATTTTTAGTTAAAGGATTAGCAAAGGATTCTTGTAGGGTTATGGGAGTGTCGTATGGTCTAGGTTGATCAATTATTCTCATTGTAATCACATTTTGTCTATAGTGGAAATCCTATGATTTAGGGTTGATCATAAAAGACTGGATGTAACATTTTGTGGAAAGTGAACCATATATTCAAGAGCTTAATTTCAAAGTAATTTTTTGAAATCATATTAAAAGGGGTTAACATTTTTCTGTTGTTCTTAAGTTTTAAGTTCTTGAAAGTTTTTAAACACCAATTCAACCCCCTTTTTTGGTGAGCATTAGGATTTACAAATGAGCTTGAATTATTTTTGTTTTTGTTTGGTTACCACATGTTCTCTTTATATATCTCTTGATCATGTTTGAGATATATTATCACTCCTTTGTGTTAGGTCATGTTTTCTTAGTTAAGTTGAACACCATTTCAAGTGCATATCAGGTAGATAAGTTTGAGTCTATGGGAGACAAAGCTTAGGCTTTTGATTTTATTTTGATGGGACTACCGTATGACATCGAGGTTTAAAGGAGTAGTTTGCTATGTTTAGTTCATTTGCACATAATTCATTTGGATAATGTCTTTTGAATACTTTATGTTATACTTACAGTTTTGCCTTAATTTTTTTAAAGGTTGTTTAATGTCTACTCGTCTTCTACTCTGGAACTTAACTTACATAAACTTGTTCTATTTTTAAGTCAAATTTGACCTTAACCTTATAACTCTACTAAATTACTGAAAACAAATCATACTACATCAAATAAACATATAATCATGCATGTAATATATATATATATATATATATATATATATATATATAAAAACTATAGATATAACTG